CCTATCATTATATATTGACAGAGGGTGCGGTTTGGAAATCTTTTGAACATCGACTTTTGACCTTCCTAAATGCCGGAGGGTGTTCCAAAGATGGTGATTTGTCAACTTTTCTAATTGTTGCCCAATGGAGAAGGCTGTGATGCCTTTGCCTGCAGGAATTGCAACAATGTGTGCTACTACAATTTTTAACGATATGGCCGGTAGACAGACAGCTAATGCAACGACTATTCCTTTTTTACAATGGAAGGCAAGGGGTTCTAGGAAGTGAATTGTTTGACCGAAAAGAAAGTGCACATTTAGACGCAGGTGTCGATAACAATCTGTTAGCCGGGCGAGATATATCTAAATGGTCAGATTTGAAAGAATTTGTGAAGGTGAAGGGACCATATTTGGCAACGACTTTTCTGTGGACGGATTTCTATGCATACTTTGATTAAACTGCAGAGTTTGTATTCTTTCTGTGAAGAAAGAATCTAAGTCGTTCCATAAATACAAATACGACATGTTATTTAAAAGTTTGTTCCCACAGGACTAGAATTAGATTTGGCCACCGCTGAAAACAAATATACACGAAAATATGATCCCTATGTTCCGTATTGACGCCAAAGACGCTCATTGCGGCTTTGGATAGTTTTCAGACCGACACTTTCCTTATCCAAAGAGGGAAGACTGAACACATTTTTAGGTGGTTGTTCACAAGAATGCGCTTGTTGTCATAACTATTCGACAACGCTTTCCACATTTAAGATAAACTATGACTGGTTAGTGGAAATCTCTAAACAATCTCCCTAGCCTCACTATTAGTGGTGGAAAAATTATCTGGAGGAGAATGATCAGGTGGAGTAGTCGACTACACAGCAACCGGATAGACGGAAAATATTCTTATTTTTAAGTAATTAAACACTATGGAAAATATGGTAGAAAGTAAGCAAAGCGATAATATATTTTGTTGAAACAACAACTGAATAAAAGAAATATAAGCAAAACTTCTTCTAAGTAAATAATACTACTCGCTATATAAGGGTGTTCTTTGAAGTAAGCAAAGTGATAAGATATTTTGAGTTTTGTCTTGTAAAGGGGAAGATCATATGTTTTATGATATATGTGTTTGTTTTCTCTTTCGAGACGAGCTTAATGATCTGAAATTTGCAGTGAAAAGGAAAGCCAGAAAGACACTATCACACACTCACCACTATGCGACGCGTTTCGCCGTTGGTTAAGCGTCTCATCAGGCTGTGGGATTTGAACCGCGGACTTCGGTGTGCAGCCAACTAGAAGTAGCCGTCTCTACGTTCAGAGCCATTAACAGATCATTAAGCTCGTCTCGAAAGAGAAAACAAACACATAAAAGATAAGATATTTTCTTAAACAACAACTGAATAGGGGAAATATAAGCAAAACTTCTTCTAAGTAAATAATACTGCTTGCTATATGTAGGGTGCTCTTTGGTTTAGTGCAAGCTGCAGGATGTGTGTGCCCACAAAATTTCTAAATTTTTCAACGAGTAATAAGTAATTGGAATCACTATAAATACAACAAATTCAACTATTTCTTTAAATTGTCATTATTAATAACTGTGGTATATGTTGCGGTATATGCCAAATGTAGAGTGTATTCTTCAAAAAATGCCGAAACCCTATGGAGACTTAAAAATATTACCAACAATTATTAATTAATTTTCCAATTACGAAATAGCCACAAAAACGAACAATTTCACCTAATATTTGTTGCTAAGAAGGTACGTAGTTAATGTCGAACGTAAGGTGAATTTGTCTAAAAATTCCAACAACTCCACTACCAGTTATCAAATGTTTGAACAAATTACAAAAATTCACAAATTATGCTGTTTTACCCAACTGTGCCATAACCAACAATGGATATCACAAAAGATAATAACAAGCGACGTCGGCAGAGAAACAACCATGCACTCAATATATATCAAACCGACGTTTAAAAGATGTAAAGATGGATGTAATGCAGGATGTAAAGAATTCGATGTGCTTATACATGCGGATAAAATTGCGCGGAATGCTCATATCAGACGTTTTAACGCTCCTAATATTCCAGAAGTTGCTGTAGTTACTGTAGGTCAGCAGCAGCATTAACTTCATCGGTCTTATGATGCCCTAAATATACATTAAAGTTCTGTCGAGGTGAAGACGGTTATATGATAAATATGGTATGGTATCGGCAGAAAATTTTTATGCATACAGAAACCCCTCACTTTTGCGTCAATATTTGGTTGATATGTATGCCAAAATCGAGAGCGGAAGATTGGGTTATATCAAGAGCCATCAAAAGGAGCTAAGAACAGAGAGCTACATGCATTTATGGGACGCCTTGTGAAGGGACGACTACAATTTAGCGGAAATGGGGCAACTGGTTGTCCTACCTTCCACGTTTACGGGAGGTTCACGGTATTTGCATGAGCGAACACAGGATGACATGACATATGTTTGAAAATTTGGGAAGACCAGACATTAATTGCAATATAAAATGAAGGGAAATTAGCACAGCATTTCCCCTACCCCAAAAACCTCACGTTTGATAAGATATTATTGGAAGAAATTAATAACCAATCCATTTTATAACCTTCGCTTGTAATATAAAATGGAAGTAAATTAGAAAAGCAATTCTCCCATCCCAAAAACCTCACGATTGGTATTATATTATTGGAAGAGTGTTTAATTTAAAAATGAAGAAGTTAATGGCTTAATGGCAAAGGGACAAATATTTGGTAACACAAAATGATTTATGTATTCAGTTGAATGGAAAAAGAGAGGTTGGACACATTTTGTTATGGTCCGAAAAACTTATATTACCAAACGAGACAGTCAGCGTTGAATGTGCTAAAATTCCGGACCTATCCGCAGACCCAGCATTGCATAAAATTGTTAAAAGTCACATGATACATGGTCATTGCGGGGGTAGCAACAAAAAATATATATGTATGAAGAAGGGCAAATGTAGGAAAAATTATCCACGCGACTTCATTGAGGATTAAGATAGAAGTAGGCAATAGCTGGGTAGTATCTTACAAGTCAGTTCTTTTACGGACTTTTGTTGCGCACATAAATGCCGAAATTTGTAATTTGGTTAAATCGATTAAATATATATGCAAGTATGTAAACAAAGGTAGCGTTCACGCCGTATTTGCTCTTGAAAACGAGATGGACGAAAAAAATATATATCAGGCAGGTCGCTATATTAGTACATTTCAAATATATTATTAGCTAATATACGAAGCAAGGGCTCAATTGCATTGGCAGTAGCTTCATCAGACATAGCTGCGACTCTTTTAGAAGGTGGTGAAACAGCACATACAACTTTCAAAGCGCCATTAAATTGTGTTCATACAGAAGCCCATTTTGTAACACATTAAAAGGGAGCGGTGCTGTCGAGGTCTTGCGAAATTGCAAATTAATTGTTTGGGACGAAAGCACCATGTCCCATAAGAAAGCAATTGACAATCCTCTACAAGACGTATAAAATAATGAAAAATGTATGGGATGAATAACAACGCTTTTTGTCAGGGATTTCCATCAAACACTACCAGTTATACCGAGACGAACTCAAGTGGATGAAATGATCGTATATTTGGAATTGGTAGAAAAGCTCCCATAAAAACACATATGAGAGCTCCTGTATACGGGAATTTGTTGCCATCATCTTTTTCTTAAACACTTTTTAAACTTGCAAAGGGGAATTTGCCATTATAAACAAAATAACAACCATCACTGAAAATATCTGCAATGTTATTATTTCGATTTCGAAAATTGCTGATATTAAAGAAAAAAGTAATGAATGGCTATGTGAACTAACCTCAATAAATGATAGAGCAGCTATCATTAATGAACTTTTTATACCCTCCACCATACTATGGAGGGTATATTAATTTTGTCATTCCGTTTGTAACTCCTCGAAATACTCACGTCAGACCCAACAAAGTATATATATTCTTGATCGGCGTAAAATTCTAAGACGATTTAGCCATGTCCGTCTGTCTGTCTGTGTGTCTGTCTGTCTGTCTGTCTGTCCGTCTGTCTGTCTGTCTGTCTGTCTGTCTGTCTGTTGTAATCACGCTATCTTTCGAACGAATTGAGATAGAAGGCTAAAATTTTGCACACATGTATATTTTTCCAGTAGGCAGGTTAAGTTCGTAAATAGGTCATGTAGGTCCAAGTTTTCATATAGCCCCCATATAACGGTACCTCTCGATATTCGGTATTTTGATGATTTTAGCGACATTATTCACCGGAATTGTTTCAAATTTGGCATTTGAAGTTCGTAATGGATACTACAGCCTAAGACAGAAAATTATCTGTGCAGGTCCACGTCTTCGTATAGCCCCCATATAACGGTACCCCCCGATATTCGGTATTTTGATGATTTTAGCGACATTATTTAACGGAACCGTTCCAAATTTGGTATTTGAAGTTCGTAAAAGATACTGCAGCAGAAAACAGAAAATGGACCATGTAGGTCCACGTCTTCGTATAGCCCCCATATACCGTACCCCCCGATATTCGGTATTTTGATGATTTTAGCGACATTATTTAACGGAACCGTTCCAAATTTGGTATTTGAAGTTCGTAATAGATACTGCAGCAGAAAACAGAAAATGGACCATGTAGGTCCACGTCTTCGTATAGGCCCCATATACCGTACCCCCCGATATTCGGTATTTTGATGATTTTAGCGACATTATTTACCGGGATTGTTTTAAATTTCGCATTTGAAGTTCGTAATGGATACTTCAGCCCATGCCAGAAAATTGTCTGTACAGGTCCACGTCTTGGTATAGCCCCCATATAACGGAACCCCCTATATTCGGTATTTTGATGATTTTAGCTACATTATAAACAAATTTTTCTTCATGTTTCGCATTTAAATGTTGTAATAACTTATGACAAAAGTTGCCTATGCATGTATACGTCGTCGTACAGTAAACTACGGATAAATGCACATCGTTTTTCTAGTAAGTTTTTGTGCACTTATCCGTTTTTTGCATTTATGCAAACCTCGGATAAATGCACAACGATTGCATTTACACTAACATTGCATAACTGCATGATAATTGCATTTATGTAAACATTGTTCCATTTTTAGAAAACAATTATTACATGAAAATATTAAGAAAAGAACTATTTTTAAATAATTTTTTTATTTTATTTGTATTTAATCCACATTGTACGCTTATGAACATACATATATTAAAAAACTTAAAAATTAGTTCAAACAATTTATAAAGTAAAAAAAATCACAAAGTTAATTTTTTGGTTTTAGTTTTCTTATTTTCTGACCAAGTGTCCGGCATTTTATGCATCGACAACTTGAAGGAAATAGAAAAAATCAGTTCTGTTCAGAAAAATTATTTATCTTAAAACTTGTTTTTATAAAAAAAATTGAGATTTACTCATGTGTACTAAAAAAATCTGAGATCTTTTTTTGAATCAAACTTTCTGTCTTTAGCTTCAATAATGCATCTTCCATTTTTTCAAAATCAAAATCCAAGTTATTGCTTTCACAATAGTTTTTGAAAATGTTGTATGCTTTTATAGCCTCCGTGCGACTAGGAAGAGGATCTACGGCACAATCGGAATCGTCAACACGCTCATCAATATGATCAGGAATTTTATCTCCGTTTACCCAACCAATTTCCTTTAAAATATCGCTTTCAGTAAGATCACCGTAGCATTCTAAATTGTCGTCACAGTCTATAATAGAAGAAAACTCTTTTTCCGGAATTGGGGGTAAATCGATGGTTTCACAATCCTCTAGAACATTCGTTTCTTCTTCATGATTTATGAACCCGGCTTTTTTAAAACAGTTTTTAATCACCGTAGGCGTTACAAGCCACCAAGCCCTTTTGATCATTTTAAGTGCTTGCAGAACAGTTATCCTTTTTGAAAAATTTTCAGATGACATACCTCCCTCCAGAGCCAATAACTGTTTACGGATTAGGCATGAGCGGTATTGCACTTTAAAGTTTTTAATTATGCCCTGATCCAGAGGTTGGATGAGGGATGTTGTATTTGGTGGCAAGTAATGTATTTTTATATGTTTAAAAATAACCTCATTGGGAATCTTATGACAGCTTGCGTTATCAACAAAAAGAACAATGTTCTTTTTCAGGATTTTGTCGAAGTTGTTTAAAATTTCAATCCATATGGAAGTCGTCATCCACGCATTAGGTTGTCCATAATATTTGATTGGCATCGTTTTTCCCCTGCAGCAATGTGGATTATTTGCTTTTCCAATCACATACACATGCTTATCAGACCCGTCCGAATTACATAAAAATAGGAGAGTCAATCGCAGTTTGGAAATTTTTCCACCAAACACTGACTCGCCTTTTGATGCATATGTCCCTGTAGGTAGTGCCTTATAAAATAGTCCTGCCTCATCGGCATTGTACACTTGATCAGGAGATAAGTTTTTGATTAAATTTGGTAGGGTTGATTTTGTCCAAACTCCAGCAGCCCCATAGTCAGCAGCAGCCTTTTCCCCGCAAATTTTTCGAAAAGTAATGTTTTGATTTTTTTTCCAGCGCTGCAACCAACCATCGTTTGCTTCAAAATTATCAATTTTCATTGAAATAGCAAACTGATTAGCTCTTTCACATATCATTGGCCCTGTAATGACTGCATTCTTTGATCTCAAGTCTTTAAACCATGTTGTAACGGCCTTGTTTACCATGTCATAATGCCCTGGTTTAAAGCGTTTCCGCATGATATTCTCCTGGCCAGTCCTTGAAGCTTCAAACTTTCCTTGATTTTTTAAAATTCTTGAGACTGTTGATATATTAACTTTATACTTATCAGCTAGGTCCTTTCGACTGCAGCCGGTTTTAAAAGACTCAATTAATCTCAACTTTTCCTTTACGGTGAGCGTATGTTTTGAGCTCATGGTTGTCTGTTAGGAACAAAAATATTAACATATTTAAATCAAAAGTCAATAAAAAGCTCATGAACTTACAAAAACCATAGATATGTTTTATCCAGCAATAAAATACGCAAATAAAGACAGCTGATTTTATTTATTCACATGTGCTGCTCATTTCTGAGGAGTTGGATAAAAGTGTAGTATGTTTATTAGAGATGTGCATTTATAAATGTAAACTGACACTAAAAAAGTACTTTTTGGTTTGGAAAACTCATGCATATATGAGTTGTTTGCATTTATGCGTGTTGCATTTAACCGGGTATTTTTGCATGTAAAACCGTAAAAAAGACTCGCGGCTTCAATTGGACATGCACTTATGCGTTTTTTGCATTTATCCGTTTTGCATTTATCCGTCGTTTACTGTATAGACATTCGGTATTTTTAAGATTTTAACAGAATTTTTAAAGGATTTTTTTTATTTTATTTTTTTATTTATTTATTTATTTTATTTTTTTTTTTTTTGGAAATTGCCAAATTTGTACCAAATGGTGGAGGGTATTAAAAGTTCGGCCCGGCCGAACTTACAGCTTTTTTACTTGTTTTGAACTCATATGAGGGTCAGCAATCTGAATTTTTATCTGTGGACCGTGTCTTGGATACAGAATTTACAAATTCACTTAATCTTCCAGCTTTCCACCACATAAATTGTTATTAAAGATTGGTGCACCAATTTGTATTACCCCTGGGTTGTATGGAATCCACCACTGCTTGGGGATTGTCAGCCAACTCATGACCCTCCAACATTATTTCTCTCTTTTCCAATAAAAAGGACATTGACAAAAAGTTTGAATACATCCGTTGTTGAAAATGCAATGAATAAACCATTTTATACCATCCACCATACTATGGAGGGTATATTAATTTTGTCATTCCGTTTGTAACTCCTTGAAATACTCATGTCAGACCCAACAAAGTATATATATTCTAGATCAGCGTAAAATTCTAAGACGATTTAGCCATGTCCGCCTGTTTGTCTGTGTGTCTGTCTGTCTGTCCATCTGTCTGTCTGTCTGTTGTAATCACGCTATCTTTCGAACAAATTGAGATAGAAGGCTAATATTTTGCACACATGTATATTTTGCCAGTAGGCAGGTTAAGTTCGTAAATAAGCCATGTAGGTCAAACAAATCATATAGCCCCCATATAACGGTACCTCCCGATATTCGGTATTTTGATGATCAAAAGTTGGCATTTGAACTTCGTAATGGATACTTCAGCCTAAGACAGAAAATAATCTGTGTAGGTCCACGTCTTCGTATAGCCCCTATATAATGGTACCCCCCGATATTCGGTATTTTGATGATTTTAGCGACATTATTTAACGGAATCGTTCCAAATTTGGTATATGAAGTTCGTAATAGATACTGCAGCATAAAACAGAAAATGGGCCATGTAGGTCCACGTCTTCGTATAGCTCCCATATACCATACCCCCCGATATTCGGTATTTTCATGATTTTAGCGACATTATTTACCGGAATCGTTTCAAAGTTGGCATTTGCAGTTCGTAGATGCTGCAGCATTAAACAGAAAATGGGCCATGTAGGTCCACAACTTCGTATAGCCCCCATATACCGTACCCCCGATATTCGGTATTTTGATGATTATAGCGACATTATGTACCGGGATTGCTTCAAATTTCGCATGTGAAGTTCTTAATGAATACTTCAGCCCATGCCAGAAAATTGTCTGTGCAGGACCACGTCTTCGTATAGCCCTCACATAACGGTACCCCCTATATTAGGTGTTTTGATGATTTTAGCGACATAATAAACAGATTTTTCTTCAAGTTTCGCATTTAAATATTGTAGTAACTTATGACAAAAGTAGATTATGCAGGTCCACCTCGTCGTATAGGCATTCGGTATTTTTAAGATTTTAACAGAATTTTTAACGGATTTTATTTTTATACAGTCCACCATACTATGGAGGGTATATTAATTTTGTCATTCCGTTTGTAACTTCTCGAAATACTCATGTCAGTCCCAACAATGTATATATATTCTTGATCAGCGTAAAATTCTAAGACGATTTAGCCATGTCCGTCTATCTGTGTGTCTGTCTGTTGTAATAATCATCAAAATAATAAATTAAACATTAGGAGAATCATAGTGCAGCAATTTGCTTAGTAGGAAAGGAAGATGTTTTGTTTCTTGTTTAATCGTAAATAGGCCATGTAGGTCCAAGTTATCATATAGTAACCATATAACCGTACCTCCCGATATTCAGTATTTTGATGATTTTAGCGACATTATTCGCCGGAATTGTTTAAAATTTGGCATTTGAAGTTCGTAATGAGTACTACAGCCCAAGACAGAAAATTATCTGTGCAGGTCCATGTCTTCATGTAGCCCCCATATAACGATACCCCCCGATAATCGGTATTTTGATGATTTTAGCGACATTGTTTACCGGAATCGTTTCAAATTTGGTATTTGAAGTTCGTAATGGATTCGTAATCCTAAGTCAAAAAATGAGCCATGTACGTCCACGTCCTCATATAGCCCCCATATAACGGTAGACCCCGATATTCGGTATTTTGATGATTTTAGCGACATTATTTAGCGAAATTGTTCCAAATTTGGTATTTGAAGTTTGTAATAGATACTGCAGCATAAAACAGAAAATGGGCCATATAGGTCCAAGTCTTCATATAGCCCCCATATACCGTACCCCCCGTTGTTCGGTATGTTGATGATTTTAGCGACATTATTTACCGGGATTGCTTCAAATACGGCATGTGAAGTTCGTAATGGATACTTCAGCCCATGCCAGAAAATTGTCTGTACAGGTCCACGTCTTCGTATAGCCCCCATATAACGGTACCCCCCATATACGGTATTTTAGTGATTTTAGCTACATTATAAACAGATTTTTCTTCAAGTTTCGCATTTAAATATTGTAATAACTTATGACAAAAGTTGCCTATGCAGGCCCACGTCGTGGTATAAGCATTCGGAATTTTTAAGATATTAACAGAATTTTTAACGGATTTTATTTTTTGGAAATTGCCAAATTTAGACCAAATGGTGGAGGGTATTAAAAGTTCGGCCCGGTCGAAATTACAGCTTATTTACTTGTTTAAATTATATATTATTATACCCTCCACCATACTATGGAGGGTATATTAATTTTGTCATTCCGTTTGTAGCTCCTCGAAATACTCATGTCAGATCCAACAAAGTATATATATTCATGATCAGCGTAAAATTCTAAAACGATTTAGCAATGTCCGTCTGTCTGTCTGTCTGTTGTTATAATCATCAAAATAATAAATTAAACTTTAGGATAATCATAGTGCAGCAATTTGCTTAGTAGGAAAGGAAGATGTTTTGTTTTTTGTTTAATCGTCAATGGGCCATGTAGGTCCAAGTTATCACATAGCCCCCATATAATCGTACCTCCCGATATTCAGTATTTTGATGATTTTAGCGACATTATTCGCCGGAATTGTTTCAAATTTGGCATTTGAAGTTCGTAATGAATAGTACAGCCCAAGACAGAAAATTATCTGTGCAGGCCCACGTCTTCGTGTAGCCCCCATATAACGGTACCCCCTGATAATCGGTATTTTGATGATTTTAGCGACATTGTTTACCGGAATCGTTGGGCCATATAGGTCCATGTCCTCATATAGCCCCCATATAACGGTAGCCCCCATATACGGTAGCCCCCATATACCGTACCCCCCGATATTCGGTATGTTGATGATTTTAGCGACATTATTTGCTTATAGGGATGTTGGGAATTCACCACGATTTACCACGGCAAATTCTATTGGGGATGTTGATTGGGATAAATTCACCACAGTGAATTTTAATGGGGATGTTGTTTTGGGAATTGTACCACGGCAAATTCTATTGGGGATGTTGATTGGGGGGAAATTGTACCACGGCAAATTCTATTGGGGATGTTGATTGGGGGAAATTCAGCACGGTGAATTATATTGGGGATGTTGTCTTTTGAATTGTACCACGGCAAATTATATCGGGGATGTTGTCTTTTGAATTGTACCACGGCAAATTATATTGGGGATGTTGTCTTTTGAATTGTACCACGGCAAATTTTATTGGGGCTGTTGGCGTTGCTAGTTTTAATATGAACTACTAGATGGCGCTAAGTTAAGCGCAGACACAATCCAAAACTCTGTATGGGATGGTGAAATTTCAAGTTTTAATATTCACCACTAGTATAGACACCCTCCGAAAAAAAAACTGTATTATGATCATATCGAGTGGGGCTAAAGAGATTCACCATGTGAGAAGTGAATATAGCAGAAACACATCTGAACGTGGTAAGTATCCAAGAAAATCATTTTATCTAGATGGCTCTCAGAATGATTTTGTATAGTCAACATGCTGATTACTGCAGTCAAGTGTGCTTATTAATTTATTTGAAAACATATATTTCAAGAAATCGACTTCAATAAATGTGATATATTATAGAAGAGTTTCAATTGACAAATATCCTACAATTATTGATATTTCAGGGGTTTTAATTTCAGCATAGATGAGAATAACAATGAAAATATAGAAAAAGAAATGTTCTCACCGTTTATTGTTGTGAAAAGTACGTAATGAATGAGTGAAATTCTTGAAAAACGATAACATGTGTTTTCGAAGTCGAGTGGGTTGAACACGAAAATCAGCATGTTGGCTATTCGTTGTACTTATTTTAATTTGACTATAATTTTAGCGACTCAAAAAAGTTCAGTTATTCCCATCGAAACGATATAGGCGATATCTAACTGTGAGTTCTATCTATACTAACCATAAATTATGTTGTAGCATAGACACACTCCAAAACTATTGAAATATGATCATATCGAATGGGGCTAGAGAGATCCACCATATGAGAAGTGAATATAGCAGAGACAAATTTGGTTAGTATCATAGTCAACAAGAAGATGTGTGTTCTATTATTTTGTCCAGATGGCTCTCCAGTTATTTCCCTCGAAACGATATAGGCGACATCTAACCACCAATTAATGTTGTAGCATATACACACTAAAAAAATGCTGCTGTAGCCAATCAAAGCAAATTCTTCTTGTGTGGACAGGCATTTTGATACATTATATCGATCGCTTTTTGATAGTTTTGTCGATGAAGAATTTGTTTACATTATGTAGCAATTTGAGAGAACCCTGCATCAATTTCATGACAAACCCTGCATCAATTCGGTATTGAAGATTGAAGAGATTTGAAGAAGGAAACACCATTGTTTACATTAACTAACAATTGGATTTCTGTGAAATGGATATGAGAATTTGGGGGGAAGCGTTGTTGCAGAGTTTCATGACAAATTCTGCTTCAACGATAGATTGGAGCATGAATGAGAACATGCTTAATTATGCTCAAAAT